AAGCGCCCCACACAATAGAGAGCTTTAGTTTAGCGCGCGCAAGGCAGCACAAGCGCAACGGCTAGCGCGCTACGTATACGTTAACAGCTGAGGCTGCTTCCTACGGTATTATTTTAGCGTACGCGACAACGGACACGTGGACTGCGCCTAAGCGTCAACACTTTCGTCCTGGAGTGCCACTAGGCGCTACCTAGTGGCTAGGCAATAGACTACAATAGCCAACTATAGTTAACACGTGTGAAGACATGAAACTGATTGATTGATATGTGGGGTTTAACGTCCCAAAACCACCATATGATTATGAGAGACGCCGTAGTGGAGGGCTCCGGAAATTTCGACCACTTGGGGTTCTTTAGACATGAAACTGAGGTCATTCCGGAGCGTTGAAAGGCATCCCCGTCAGCTCCTGTATTTTCACAGCGATAACCGTCCATTGCACGGGGTCCGAGAACGGATTTAAGCTCCTGACGTAAGCAAGGAGCTCCAAATCGCGGACAATCGTAAATTGCACGCGGGATTTACTCGCAGCCATGACCGCACAGCTGTTTGTGCTGCTGTTGGTCGCGGCCATCTTCGTTTTCGTGCTATCACCAGGGGGAGATCTCGCGAGAGCCACTGCTAAGGTACCCAACGGCTGAACGCACGCATCTCCCTTACGTACAGCGCATGCGCAGCGTGCTCCCTCTTGCGCCTTGAAGACTTCGCAGGGCGAGGGGGTAGAGTCCGGTTGAGAGAGAAAGTCAAGCTCCTCTGGGGGGAAGATGGTCGCTGACACGAACGTCAGCAGCGGTCCATGGCTGCGTTCAGCTACCGTGTTTGCAGAAGTTTCTCGAACTCGGCAGGCCAGGTACTCGATCCCTGAGAACTGCGACGCTTTTTCCACGCTTCCGAACTGTTGGTTCTTTGTCGCGACCTCGCGTAGGCGACAATGGCTGTCTGGAGAGGTTGACTTCATGAGAACTGCAACAGTGATTCCGTCTTACGCTGTTAGACCCCACTCAACGAAGGGTTGTTGGCAAAGCTTTCGTCAAGTTCCCCGTAACACGGCCATTGCAAACTGTCTGGTCCACCTGCAGGACAGCGTCGTGCTTTTCGCTTCCCACAGGGAACCGATATCGGGGTGAAAGCCTTCTCGCAGACCGGCTCATGCAGAATGGCGTCTGCTGGGATGAACTGCCGGGCCTTAGGCACTGCGCCGTGCTCCCGACCGGGCAGCAGAAATTAGGTGCCTTTCTCCTCTTCTAACCACTACCACCACCACTGCCGGGCCAAACGTAACAGCGCCTAAAACGGAGCGTACAGCTCCTTCGCGAAAAACTTGATGAGATTTTTCTTCACGGTTTTCTTCCTCTTGGATACCCATCCTGGTGTAGCGACATGTTTGGCCAGAGCACTTGCTATGAGGGCACAGGCAGGTAGCACTTCTTTTTGTGTCTCAGGTATCCACAGCAAAGGCATTTAAACGAGACAATTATGCGCTTATATCGAAAGTTGTGGGCTCGGATGGCAAGAACAGAAAGGTTGATTTCGCACATTGTACGAAAAATAAATCTATGACGGTTGTAATCACAAATTAGAAACTGTGTTTACGCACCCTATCGAAAAGATGATCTCGTATGACACGTGTGAGATATATTCGTATGATCGTACGAAAGCTCATAGACGGATATGAGGCATGTGTGTCATATGAGAATTTTCAGTAGGGTATAGTGTATACACTGCATGCGAGGCGCTGAAATGGGGTTGCTTGGTACATAGTGAAGCCGGTTGAAACACCAGCAAAAAGCACGAAATGAAAAAAAAATACAGCATATATATCCACGCAGTAAATGACGAGTGCATGGTTCGAAGCGTCTGTCCATCCATCCGTCTGTCTGTCTGGGTTTACGAAAATTATCTCCTATACCTTTACACAGTCAGACCTTTCGCCTCATTTCTTAATGCGCAGGCTACGTATTCTTTGACAATATCGGCGACCAAGAACCTTTCGGTATGCATTACAACTGTTCTCTTTTCGCCTTTACCCCGGAGAGCCGAGCAACAGCGCATGCCGACGAAAGGTTGCCAAGAGATATTCCTTCATAAATTCGATCGCTTTACTATGCGGACTTGCGTAATTAACTTGTTCGTACCGCTTCGCCAAAAGCATTCTCCCCGTCCACTCCTACGCGACGAGATCCACGTAATGAACCCATCGCAGACAGAAGGGTGAGAGGGGTACGTGCGCAAGCCAGCCCAAAAATGCATCTCACGCGCGCCACAGTTTCTCATGAGGAAAGAACTGCCATCGGCCAAGTCGGGCATGGCGCCACGCTTCTGTGTGCGTAACACTAAGGCGGGACAAAATCGCGTTTACGAGGAAGCACAATGCACAGGAGAGCGTATACTGTCGACGCAGCGCTGTGCGCGTTAGCCGGAGCCCCTTCAGTGGTTTTCATTCTTTGACTTTTTTGTGTGTTTTTTTTCTCGCCCCGCTTGACGTCAAGCGTTCCGTGTACACGGCCAGCAACGGGTCTTGACTCAAGACCGTAGCGAATGGGTCCACTTCGACGTTGCCGGAGCATTTAGAGGAAAGAGCAGTTCGTACGGGAGGGACCGTTTGAACTCAATCGTCCGTGATTGTCGTCGTACATGCGGCGACACGAGATCTTGTCGAATCGTACAGAACGGCGGCGCTTAGTTGTCCGCTGCCACTTCAGCACCGAGTCGGAGCCAAGTTGTAGAATTCAGAATTTCCTTTTCAGGAAGGCACAGGCAAGTGATAAGAAAGCCACAGGAGCAGACAAAGTAGGAGACTTAAACGCTTATTTAGAAACGGTATATAGGAGTAAGCGCTCTCCTTCCAGGTATCCTCTGGCCCTCGCTGTCCCCTGACGACGAGGCGTCGTCGTTGTTCCAGGTCGACGGAGGAGACGAGTTTCGCCTCAAGCTTTTTGTGGACGTATTCGCTTTCATCTCCGATGTTGTAGCTTTTCGGCGAAGGGGATGTGTCTATTTGCCATCGGCATTCAAGAATTATACTCCGTTTCATAAATCACGTGCAGCGCTGCGGAAGCTATGCTAGAAATTCGGTCAGCCTAACTCCACGCGTGCCGTGGTCGCTCGCGTGTCATCCGATTAGTGCCGGTTCACCTTTGCGTTTCCCCGTGCTCCCCTTTGGCGCCACTGGCGATCAGACGTAAGCGAGGAAAGCACAAAAGAACGCGGAGACCGAACGACTATGTGTCCACCCCAACAAAGAGAGGGCCTCATGAGATACAGTAAGTCCAGGTGGCCGCCATCGTTACGTAGCCAGAGAAGAGAACCTGCATGTGCCGAGAACTACGACGCGGAGATAACAAGGACACGAAGGACGTCTCTGCGTCGTCGTTCTGTTCTCGCGCTATAACTATCGTCATGTCATACCAACTGGCCCAAGCTGCCAAACTGTATGTGGCGTCACGTGTAAGTAAGCTACCCAGCCGCATAAGAACAGACGTGCAACGACTATTTTTAAAACTATTTTTTGTTGCGAACGCATCGACTGTAAAAAGGCTCGCTAGCTTCCACATCGTTGCACATGATGTATGAAATAGAGCATAAGAACGCAATACTTAGGGCTTCCCGACAGAGTTCATGGCCTACATGTAGACGCTGGTGCATAGCACGCTAGGAGAGGCGATTCGTTGTGATCGCACTCGAGTAAATACGGCTTCAGATGCCTGACCACTTCAGGCGTTCACTTCGGTGGCTTTTGCAAAGGCTGCCACTGCCTTCAACATGAGTCCATCCTTCGCATCCAATATACGTTTCTCTTTCGGAGTCCCTCATTGTGCTTTACAACCCCCCCCCCCCCCCCCACACACACACAAACGCCCAACCTGGTTTTCACCTAAGAGACAGGTTTTTGCCCTTGGACCGCAGAAAGTTGACCGCAGACAACCAGCGGTCGAACAGCACGCAAAGGGTGAGGCCCCCGTCTTTTTACGTTTTTCTCTCCGCCAGCCTATTTTCTGGGAATACTCACCATGGGAGATATAGCTTCAGAACCACCTGAAAGAAACACGTTCGCGTAAAAAAGTTAATTTCCGGATTTTCCCCCCTTTTCTTTTAAAGAAGCTTTAGGTCATACCAGTCTTGTGAAATATGACATATAGCAGCCGCATTTATTGCGCATCTCAAGTGATACAATGCGACGCCATTTACATGTAGTGCATCAACTCTGGCCTTCCCACCAGCTACAACCAAGCTCGAAGTGGCACGACGGGAGGCGGCCGTCTGCCATCTCGTGACTGATGGTCAGCGAGTCTCGAGACCAACCCCTGCCTCACGCATTCGCGCGATGCGCCTTCCTAGCGTATTACCCGCATTAACATGGATTCAATGCGTTATAACGTTGATGCTATGCAACATGCGAGCTGTGGCGCGTTTGCGCCTCAAGGCCGAACGAAATGATATAAACATCTCATTTACCACACTGCAGCAATTCCTCATTCGATACAAACACGAAGCAGGTTTGGAATTCGCCTCGACCGACTCGGGTGTAGCACAACTTTAGCGAGACCGATTTCTGGGTTAACACGCGACATTGTTCGTAAAGCATTTCCTCTGGTATATCAAAGCGACGTGCCTCTTGAAAAGCAGACAACTCTCCATTCGCTGACACAATAGGAGTTGGCATTTTGCCACTATGCAAGTTTCCTCCGGAGAAGCAGGCGCTTATTAAAAGAACGCCCCAATCTGAAACTTGCGAAAGTGCCAGGTGGGAAGCATGCGCCAAGACGGCACGTACTACAGGATATCTGCTCGGAGGCACCAATTGTTGGGGCTTAACGTCCCAAAACCGCGATATCAATGACGCCGCAATGGAATCCCCCGGGCGTCAAGCGTGCCACGTCCATTGAAATGCGGCTGCACCAGCGGTCGGGATTCGATCCCGCGACCTTCGGGTCAACAGTGTGGCACCATCACCCCTGCCACCACGGCGGATTATGCTATAGGAGATAACGACACACAACGAGTTCAAAAAACAATGCATTTACGCTTTATTCGGCATGTACAGATGCACGGTGTAGAACACACTAAATGCACATAGACACAAGTAATGAATCGTGAAAAAAATATAATAAGAAATGTTTTCGCGAAGAAAGCGTAAACACCCAAGCTAGACACGATATGCCCTCAAGGAACATCATCGACGCATTTATTCCAAAGAGCTGACAGCTACTTTGGTCATGAAATTGCTTGATCATTGCCCGGCGCTGAAAGCCAAAGACCACACAGCTGCATGCTCTCGGACATCGTTACTTATTAAGGTAAGGCAGCTAGTAGACTGGCTATACCAAAATGTTGGACGGAGGCAGTATATGGACGGCGGGCGCCGAATGCTACCCAATTAAAGTCACGCGAACGGTTACGATAGTTAAGAGCACGGCATGCCCCCTACGAATTAAGGGCACCCCCTCGGAAGCACGCGACTATATACTTGTTTGTTCGGGAACGCCTCACGTGGGTAGGAGAACCACAAGCATGCCCACAAGTTAGCAATAAGGACAGCATATATCGTACACGGCGGACCCAGAAGCCATGGTCAGTCCCCAAAGTCCATAGCCGCAAAAAGCGGGAGGTCAGTCCAGGCGCAGCTCTTTGCGGACGTACTTGGGAGCTTCGTGTATGATGCCGGCTTGGATGAGGCCGTGAGCCGTGTCTAGGACAGACTCCCTGATGGGCCTCGGCTCGACCTTGAGGACCTCGCGCATCCGCTTGTTCGAGAACTTGAACACCTTGCCGACCCGAGGGTAGAGCATCTTTGCCGACCGATCAATGAAGCCGACGAGCCAGAGACCGATGTTGGGGGCCGACAGGAACGGAATGTAATAACCCTGACACGACAGTTCTTCGCGGAGCATGTGCGCCATGTCCTTGAGCCAGACGTTGCCCGAGTTGATGATGTGTCGCTGACCGGCCGCCTCTGGCACGATCAGGGCCTGTACGTGAGCCTTGGCCACGTCGCGAACGTCACACACGGCGAAGTTGACGTATGGAATCAGGGGCGTCGACTTGTCGAGCAGTCGCTTGACAACCTCGATGCTCGTGCCGTAGGCACCGTGCAGCGGCGGGCCGAACACCAGCGACGGGTTGACGGTGACCAGCTCGAAGCGCTTTGCGGCGGGTAGCGCGTTTACGAAGTCCCAAGCAGCCTTCTCGGCCAGGGTCTTGCTCTTGGCGTACGTCTCGAGACCCTTGAAGTCCACGTTGGTCCAGTCGTTCTCGTCGTACTCGCGATCTGCCGGAGTGTCCACCTCACCGTGCACGGCACCCATGGTGCTGGTGAGGACCACGCGCCGGACCGTGCCGGCGTCAGCGGCGAACTTGAGGACGCGTCGCGTGCCTTCGACGGCCGGTCGGATCACGTCGTCGGGATGGTTCGGTTCGGCGTTTGGAAACGGCGACGCCACATGAACGACAAGCTGGCAGCCCTTGACGGCGTCGGCCCATCCGGCGTCGTCCAGGAGGTCGGCCTCCGCCAATTCCACTGGGTGCTGGGCTTCGGGGTAGCAAGTCCGTAGCGGCTTGGTCTTGCGGTCGTTCTTGGCGTCGCGGACCGTACCGCGCACTCGGAAGCCTTGCTTGAGCAGGGCTCGAACCACGTGCAGCGCAATGAAACCGGAGGCCCCGGTGACGAGCACCAATCCACTGTCCTGGGCCATCGCGAGGCTGCGGCGGGACTGGAGACGAGCGGTTGAGTCGCAAGATACGGACAGGAGAGGCAGCGGAGAGCGCGCTACCTTTACGATGTGTGTCTGGCGGGGAACTGTCAAAATACCGGTTCTGCGCCACCACATAGGCCCGTCGCCTCCCCCCCTCCGGGTCGCTTGAAACGCGGAAGAGAACGCGCGCCGCCCTAGTTTCCTCCGCCGGTGGCGGCACCTATCCCGGAAACGCGGGCTCGGCACAGTCGTCCCCTAGGCAGCCCGGAGAAAACGCATCATCAAAACTACAGTACTATCAAAACAAACGGCCAACGCCACGCCGCCTGGCGAGAGACTGGACAGACGCGCCTCTTTTGAAAGCGGGAGTACCATCCGCCACGGTGATTCAATAAATATGAAGCTCTAATGCTCAACTAAAGGTCGCGGCGTAGAGTCCCGAGTCCGGCGTTTACATTTCGATCAAAGCGAAATACTAGAGGGCCCGTACACTTCGATTCAGGCGCGCGTTCAAGAACACCAGACAGCCAAAATTTCAGGAGCGCTCCACTACGGCGTGTCTCATAATCATATCGTTTGTTTCGAGACGTAAAACCCCGACAACTATCATTAAGAGCGGGAAGGCTGGGACGGCGCTAGTCCCACAGCATTCGCACGTCTTTTTGTGCATGAATTGCCAGTGGCCGTGGGTAATAATCATATAGCGTGCTCGAGATGGAAATCAGGAATCCCCGTATTACGATCTTAGCGTAGGCAGGAGCACTCACGGAAGATTGAAAAACGGCTGTTTATGACGTCATCAATACGCGCTGCTAAAAAAACGCGTTGTGGTGTGGCACTTGCCTGTCCCCGTTTTTGTATGTAATTTCCCGCCATGGTTGCGACGAAAGCCACTGCATGAACAAGCGAAAAAGAAATTTGACAACTACGCAGTACTTTCGCGTTTGCCCCTTCGTGTCCTTGTGTGCTGTTATCGTGATAAGCACCTTAGGCGCTAGGCTTGCCGGCGTTTCCTGTCATCACGCTGTGTCATGTTTTCACGGTTCATCATACGAACGGATATGCACCACAACGGGTAAATTCCACTACTGAGCTGTCACAAAATAGCTATTGAGAGAGAATAAAACATTTATTAGTGTTATGAAGCGTGGAACAGCTACATTCATTTATTTGCGGCCAAGGAAGGAATGTCAGTGACTGGGATTCTTAGTCCGGGGTCCCATTGGCACGGGCCGCTGTCCTCGCTCGTCTCACGAGCTGGACAGAGCTGCCATACACCCCATACAGTGTTCTGTTGTGCTCGTGAGTTGCAGAGGTGGATTGTGTGGGCCTTCCAATACCACGAGCTATTGATGGCGAGGACATATACCGTAGCGCCATCTCCCAGAATCTTTCTGTGACGTATAAAACGACATCACGTGCTTCCGACTGTGCGACATGCTCGATAACTCCGGTGATTCAAGGCCGTTCAGCCGCGGCTTTTCTCACTTTGCAAGCATAGGTTGTGTTTGTATTAGCCGCTAAACAACCTATAGAGTGTTTGCCAACCAAGTTTTTTTGTTTTTTTTTTAGCGAGCCAACGCGCTGTCATCACCACGTCATGCACTTTCGACGGAGCGCGTGCGAATGACGTCATGGACGCCCAACGCGAAGAGGAGCCGTGGTGAAAGGTGAGTTATGATATTCATCGAGTAAATCTGTAAATCGAAGAATTCTCACATTTCGCGTACATTTAAGTTAACTGAGTTAACGACAGGTGCGATGGCGCGCACCTGTCACTTGCTTTTGCGAGGAGCGCCTCTGAGAGGTAACGCTTCCTTCGGTCAGCGTGGACTGCCACGCAAGATTCACGGCGACATTTCACCCTGCTTTTCGAGCGGTATCAAGTATCCGATGATGCTTTGACATTAATTCTTAACATAGCGTGACCTTAGCTCTTTTGCCGCTATATACCGTTACTGTTCACAACAACCGTGGTTCATGCAGCCTGCTGTCAGCAGAAGTGTTACTGGACGATTATTTAAAAAAATATATATTTGTAAGCACATTTATCGTACTTTATCGTTCTTATTTGTACCTAACCATCATCATCTCGATTGGGCTCGTTCGTTGCTGTTCTGAGCCGTGGCAATCATCGCGGAATAAACGCTCCTGCTGGTCCTGCCTGGCGAAGCCTTCCAGCGTCTTTCAATATATTTAAATAGGTGGAACTTCACCCGCACATATTTTTGTCTCCTTAGGGACACCCGACAACAAATTCGGAAACTCGATATGCTTGTGTTGTTTGATAGTCCTGCAGACGCGGCCACTTCTGACCGATTATTAGTGACGAGCGTTGCCTGTAAGATATTTTACTTTAGTTTTAAAGTAAGAGAAGGAAATACCTCGGTGACGATGCGTGCTCATCTGGGTATTCAGGTGCAATTCTTTTTTTTTTCTGTAACAGAGAACACGGACTGCCGGACGAATTGGTAATTCATAACTGAGTTGGCGAAAAATTGAAGTACATAAGGAAGACACTTGAACACAGCGCACACTAACTGAAACATTATTGAAAAAAAAAACAGACACATATAAGCGGCCGGCTACGAGAGCACGTCTAGTGGAAGAAATGATTAGACGAGCAAACAAATTGTATTAATGAAGCGCGTCCAGAAAAGCGCGGGAAATCGAAGAGGCGTGTTATCAACCTAGCTGTTGATTTATATGTCGCGAAACCCTCGGTTGTGTTACTCGCCACTGAGGTGGCTTTTCTGGAAGCACGTCACTAATACAATCTGTCTGCTCATATCTAATCATTTCTTTCACCGTCCGTGTTCTTGTAACCACTCATATATGTCTGTTTTTTTTTTTTTTTGTCAATGAAGTTCCAGTTGTTAGCGTGCGCTGTGTCCAGGTGTCCTCCTTATGTACTTCAATATTTCGAGCAACTCAGTTAAGATGATATGAGAGAACACTTGCGGGGCGCGTACAATACCCCGAGTGGCACCCGACGAGGACTATTGTTAGTCAACCCTCTTGCTCTGTTGTTGTTGTCTTTATTTCAGACAAATGTATGTCTCGGATACAAGGGCAAAAGGCAGATGTCCTCTGCCTGACGGGACCCAAGTACCCGAAAGCACCACTCAGAGCATACAATATAAAAATAAATACAATATAACACACTAATAATGCATGCATAACATTGTTTTTGTACAGAGTAAATGGAGTACATACTTGTACAGTAATAAAAAAGATTCATAACACTACAAATAACGAAACCAGAGAAACATATGACTGCTATATACAGAACTGTCAGGCTGCTCTCAAAACGGTTCTTGGCTGCTTACGCCAGGAATGCTTTTCTTTCTTTTTTTTTGGGGGGGGGGGGGGGGGGGAGGACACGCTCAGAGCACCTACAGCATTTCATTCTTCAACGCCCGCGGGTCACCGAAGTCTGGGCGCGCGCACTCTCAGGCACTGCCCCACCGTGACATTTAGGCGGGCGTTTCGAATAGAAGCGCAGTCATTTTGAATCAACGGCGCTAGCGTTAATCACACGATGCGTTAGAGCAATTACGATTCAATTTCGGCACTGCCAGACGCAAAGCCACGAATAACTTTAAAAAAGACCGCAAACAAAACTTTCGCTCTCGGGGGTCCCTCAATACTCGCTTTCACTACACTTGATTCTTTGGCGTGATATTATGCGAAAACGTTGCAATATCTGCACGCACCGCTTGCTCGACTGTTAATTACAGTTACGGTGTCTTGTTTTCGATGACTCCACCGGTCTCTGGCATCCACCAATACGTGTGCGAGCTGCCCAGCACATCCCGGCTGCTGACAGGTGAGACGTCCGATTATGCAATGCAAAAGAACTACAGCGTCGTACTTGCCGCACATTATAACTCTACTTTTCTGGAGTCGCTCGCTGGATTTCGTGCCGACCGGTTGTGGCTCTGGCCGACTGGGCTCGCCCTACGTCACCTCCTGTCGCCGACGACCTTCGACGGCAGTGTAGCTCTGACTTACTGGACCTGCTCTACGCCATCTACAGACGCCGACAACATCTCTCGCAAGTGTACCCCGTCCTCGGACTCCAGTGACCGTGCTTCCATCTTTCCTGTCTCTCCTATCCCCTCAGTTTGTTGTTGCTTCTTCTTCCTCTTTTCTATACCTTTACTTATACCCTTTTTATCCCTCCTCACCCTTATCCCTTGTGAGCCCTGTGGCGGTGTCGCTCACTGAAGCAGACAATAACGGGGCTCACTTTTCTCTTCCTTTCTCTTTATTAAGAACCACTGACACACTACTTTTCTCCCTTTCCCCCTCCACGCAGGCGCTGCGCCGTGCTCCCTACCGGACTGCAGAGCAGAAATAAGGCGCCTTCTTTCTCTAACCATTGCCACCACTACATTTTCACTCCCGTTCTGGACGGAACATTTTTGGCCGCTGAGTGAGCTGCTCACCCGAGGACTCGTGAGCGCCGAGTCGTTTCGCCAATTTAAGTTTTATCACTCAAGTATATCGCTGCAGCGACGATTTGGAAGAGCTCACTCACATTAGGCTCGCTCGAATGCATCCGGCACTGCGGTAACAAGCGGTCAACAAACATCTAGGCTAGAAAATGAACTGCTTCGAGGTTGAAAGCAAGCGCACTGCACTGACAGCGGCATAGGCACGTCAGGTACGTGATATTTGCTACGTCACAGCGACAGCAGCGCCGGCCTCTCCAGTAATCACCCTCGAGGCCAATAACCACTCTTATTCGGGGGTATATCATCTCAACCTTCAGTACGCCAGATTAAAGAAGTCAACATAAGGCGGACATTTAAGCACACCAATAAGCGTCGTCACCTTTATAATTTCTGTTGTTTACGAATAAATGTTATTAGCCTCTGCAATACGGACAGTCCACTTCAATAACAATACAACTAGAACTTCAAATCCCGCTTTATGCCGAAATTCTGAAGACCCGTTTTCTCGCTAAGCAGCGGGTCGTGCGTCTTTTGTCAGTGCATGCGCGGACATCCATAGACCACCGTGAATAGAAACACGAACTTTGGACTGTGAACGCCATCTCTCATTGCGATAAAGTAACGCGTGAAAGAATAAAGACGTCTGGTGTTCACATTCTGTCAACTATCGTGAAGGCTTTAAAGGGGCCTTGAAACACTTTTCTTTATTAACCGTGGAATTAG